TCTCGTTATTATTTGATTTTTTTCAAAATTAAATATATTAATGTTTTGAAAAAAATTAAAAAATAAATAATTCGGGTTTTTAAGTCATCTCAAGAACTTGAAATTTTAGAACCGGGCTTGATGTGTTTGATCTTTAAAAATAAACAAGCTAATTCAAACCAGTTGGAATTCGAATTCCCGGGACAATAAAAAATCAGTAATGTTCGGATATTAAATAATTTATGTATTACTATAGTTTGTGTTCCTAACATTTTTTTTTTTCGGGGTAAAGTGTTGCGAACAGTTTTGTTTATCGTTAAAAAAAAAAAAAAGATGGGATTATTAACACAAATCGTGCATCTAACAATCCAATTTTAGGATAGAGGCCCCAAAAAAAAAGAGCACAGGCCCAAACCATGGTTTTTTTTTAACTTCATAAAAAACAGAAAGAAAAAAAAGAAAAAAGAAAAAAAAAGGGGTTAAAAAATGATGACCACCTCATAACACCTGATCATAACCCATTCATATATTTTAACCTTTTAAAACCCTAGCTCTCTGTTTCCCTGGTTATCTTGGGTTCCTCTCGTTCCTAGGTTCAGATCACCAAGCTGCTTTGCAAGCAGGTTTGAAACCTACTTTTCAATCATTTCCTTGAATCTTCACGTTGATTGTTGTTTTGTTTTTGTTTGGTTTGCCTATTAGGGTTCCCACTACTACCTTTTTGTCAACGATTCTATCTCTCTATCTTTAAAGCGTTTCAAGACATGATAATTGGAGTTTATCTAACCTTGAAAATTAAAATTGCTTTGAAATGGTTAAATGTAATACGGGATGTTGAAATGCAGCTTGTTTGCATTTGTGGTTGCGCTACTGATATATATTTGTCCTTTACTGCAATGTTAAACTAGGCAAGAGGTCAATGTGATTTGGAGTAATTGAGTGCAGGTTTATGTAAATTGTTTTATTCAATTGTCACTGACTAGCAATGTTCTAGCTTTTCGGTTGTTTTTTCCCTTTATTATTTTTCTTTTGCAGTGAGTCCAAGTTCCTCAAAATTTCAGTTTATTTGAAGATGAATTTTATGCCCAATAGCAATAGATAGTTTCAGGATGTCTTTATTGAGATAACTGCTGGCATTTTTTATTTTCTTTTCTTATTTCATGTTGAATATATTGGGGGATGAAGAAAATTTATGTTTTTTTTTTTTAAAGATCTGTGTGAGACAAAATGGCGGTTCCGTTGCTAAGCAAGAAAATAGTGAAGAAGCGTGTCAAAAAGTTCAAGAGGCCCCAGAGCGACAGGAAAATTTGTGTTAAGGTATGTGTTTTTGCGAGTTCCTTGTGAGTTAGTCTATTTAGAATGATCTTCTTGTGTACTATACTTAATTTATCTTCAAGTATGGGTGTTAACAGTCTGAAATTGTTGGGAATGGGACTATGGAAATATTTTAGTGTATAATATATACGTTATATGTATTTCAACTATATATATACTTTGAATTAAAAATTAAAAATTGTTTTTGAATAAATTTTCTCATCAAGCTTATCTGTCCACCTACGTAATCATAATATAACGTTGTAATGTTGAGACTGGTTCTGCGGTTCATTTAGTTTTACATCTTTGTTTGTCAGGGATGATCATGCTCTTAATGGATTTCTTTTAAAAATGCGACTTCATGAACCAAGAAAGAAAAATATTATGGTTTCGTTATGATGCACTTGATACTTTTTTACTTATCGCTTGTCATCACTATGTCAAAGTTCATAAATAAACATCTCAATGAATATAACCAAATGAAAGCTGAAACCAGTCATCTCTGAACTGAAGTAGTTTCCTGCGTTGTTATAATTAGTAAGCATAGTTATTTCATGGAAAAGATTGCATCAAGAGTGGATTGACAAATAAAAGATAAAGTGGAGTAATTAGAACAAAATATTGAAATTATCTTTTATCTTATTCTTTCTGATATCAATTGTCATCTGGTTCCCCATTGTGGCAGTTGATGATGGCATCATATGATTCTATTTACAGTTTCTTCCTTAAATTTCAATGAAGGCAACATCTTGCTGTAAAATCTGTTCTACTTTTGTTATAAACAAGCAACCAAGGTTGCCATGACCATGTCAAGTGTGAGCCATGTGCAAATCAAAATCATTAGTTCCTACTGAGTCATTGCAGTGCTCCGTAGTTTGCTTGCCAGGAAGTTGAATCAAGTCAGTCAAAAGCAGTTCAGGCAGCTGGATATATATGTATATATAAAGTAGAATTTGTGTATTTCTCCCCGTTTTGGTAACATCTTGGCATAGAGGTGAAGCATGTTTAGTAGCAAGTAATGTGCTTGATGCTTGTACATTACCGTATGGTGGTCTCATATTGAGACCTTTTGTAGCTATTATGACTACCTTTTCATCTTCACTGGCTCTTTGGGTTGTTATTAATTAGCCTACATTACTTTTATTGTGGTGTGCAGCCCAACTGGAGAAGGCCCAAGGGTATCGATTCCCGTGTAAGGAGAAAGTTCAAAGGATGTGCCTTGATGCCAAATATCGGTTATGGTTCAGACAAGAAGACCCGTCACTATCTCCCTAATGGATTCAAGAAATTTGTTGTGAACAATGTCAAGGAGCTGGAACTTCTGATGATGCACAACAGGTTACTAACTGCCTTTGATGTCCATTTTGATTTCCCTTTCTTCTTCGCTGGCATTTTTCTGTATTTATTGACATGATGAAATTTCAGGACTTACTGTGCTGAGATAGCACACAATGTATCAACCCGGAAGCGAAAGGAGATCGTTGAGCGGGCTGCGCGGTTGGATGTTGTTGTTACCAACAGAACAGCCAGGTTGCGTAGCCAAGAGGATGAGTGATTGATTGTGGGTACCAATCAAGTTTTTATTTTTCTTTGTTGTCATCTTTATTGGCTTGACAATTTTGGAACTTGGTAAATCTTTTCTGCAACGATTGTATTATGGATTACTTGGTGGAGCTATGGAGTGTTTTTCATCCGAGTTATGTTGGTTTGACACGTGTTAATCTCTAATGGCCTCCTCACTTCGATGAAGCAGATATGTATCATGCATGAACCTGCATGATGAGAATCCACAAGAATTTATTTGCACTGTCCTTAGAAGCTTGAGCTTATGTTGGGTGTATTGTCGCCTGTCAAATTGTAGCTTGAGATTGAGATGAGCTTTTGGATGCTGACTATGTAAGAAAAATAATTAACGTGTGCTATTTAAGAAAGTTAGTTAATTTTAATAATTTTGTCTGAAATTGAAGAGTTTGGATTAAAATGTTTTTGTAATCAATGTTTTTTTTTTTCTAATTTAATGTATGAGGGGTAATTTTAAAAAAAGTATAATAAATGTTTCTTAAAATTTGTGTTTTTATTTATAAAAAAACAATTAAATATATAGTAGTTTCTCTTACGTGACGAAAACTGAGATCGTTGAAAGATTATAAAGCAACAAAGATGCCATTAACTTAAACTCAGGCGCCCAGAATATAATCAAGAATAGTAAATTAGACTTTACAGAAAGATCCTAATCTTCCGAGAAAATTCTTTATATTCCACTTCATTTATTAAGATCTTGAGTTCAGATGACAGAAATCTTGCCCAGACAACGAATTATCGACATGAGTATTTGAAATGTATCGGTAACTCAATAAACAAAAAAAAAGATATATATATGAGCTAATACATTTTTTATTCATTTAAATTTGTCTCAGTTATTAATTTAATTTCTCGAGTTAAATTTTTACCAATTTAGTTTTTTAAATTTACTTTAATATATTTTGTTCTTGTTATTTGATGAATGAAGAGGAGATAAGTTAAAATAAGTTGACATGAATAATAAAACATCGAACTGGCAACCATGTAAATTAATAAAAAGAAATGTCATTATTTAAACAATAAAAAATAGACATTGAAATTTTTAAAAACAAAATGAGCGTACGTTTAAAACAATGACATCAATTAACGCATTTTTACGGAAGAAGCAAGAAAAGATTAATTGGTTGTACAATAAAACAAAATAATATTAACAAAAGAGCTCTTCAAGTGATTTATATAATCACAAATTGAACCTTTTTTTTTAGTTTATTTCATAAAAAAAATTACTTATTTTTTTTTAAAAATCTATTTTATGAGCTTTTATTATGTTTGTTTAAAATTTTAAAAATAATCAGAATTCAAAAAAATATTATATTTTCAATTATTTTAAGAAGCTACTTTAAGTAGCTTTTGAAAATAATATAATGGAATCGATGAGAGAGAGTATTTTAAAGAGACAAGATATACAAAATATTAAAATTTTAAAATAATATAATAGTAAATAATTTTATAAAATAAAAATCAAGAAAGATATCTTAAAATTTAAAAATAACTAACTAATAATCACTTTATATTATTATAACCAAATATAAAATAATATTTGCCTTTTATAAAATCTCTACAAAATAATTTTTTTATAAAATCTTTAAATTACTTAAAAATTACTTATTTTTTAATTTTAAACAGTTGGCCTCAATTCTTCCAATTGTTTTGGTATGACCTTATGTATTAAAAGCCATTGTTATATTAAACCATAAACCGACTTGATAAATTGTGACTATTCATATAATTTGTCTTTTTAAAAGTAATTTTATAGAATCACAAATTATTTCTTCTTTTCTTTCTTTTTCTTCTTCTTCTTCTTCTTAAATAAGCTACTATTTTAAAATAACTAGCAGCAACCCCTTATACTAAATAAAATTAATTATTAAAAAAAAGGAAAAAATGGATCATTCAGTAATTAAGTGAATAGCCATTCTACTTCTATATAATATAATATTAATCTATATATATTAATCGTAATCCATAACTGCAGACATTTGGTTGCTGTGTTTCGTTTTAAATAGTAGTGTATATTTTCTATTTTAAAATTAATATACAAATTTTTTATTAAGACTCCACATCATTCTGAAAAAAAAAAAAGAACAGAAAAGAATCTGAATATAAGGAGTAATTTACCCCCCCCCAAAAAAAAAAAAATGATGGGATCTATGTGCTAAAGAACAATTGTTACTGGTCAATAATTGTTCACTCAGCTGAAAGAACCTAAAAGAAGCTGTGCCAAGGTGAGGAGGCTACAATAGAAAAATAATTGGACTGCTAGACTAAGTTTAGCTCTAGTAAATAAATAAAGTCCAATTAAATCATCAAAAAATAAAATAAAATAAAAAGTAAGAAAGAAAGGCATCAAAATCTTCAATCTTCTCAGCTTTGTGGTCTATCTGATACGCTTGACAGATAAAAGCCATCAGGAGGATGATCGCCTGGATAAAGGCCATACAGAGCCATTACAATTATTAAAATTCAATGTATATCAGATCAGTGCAGACAAAAATAGACATGCTTAATTCACTACTTGAAATGGTCTTAGATGTACTCCCTCCCGCTTTACAAGGTGAAATTAACCAACTTCACACTTCTTAAGAAATGTTATGTAATCTTAAAATTGTAAAAAATATGTAAGTTTTCAATTTTACCTTTGCTTGCAATTAATAATCATAATAAATTGTTCTTTAGGAATTCAAATAACAAAAAATAAACATGGGATAAAATTGGACCTTATATCAAGGAGTAAAAAAAGTTTTCAAACTTTGCCATATATCAAAAGCCAGAGGGAGTATAAATGATACCAATAAGCCACAAATACAAATTATATAGCTCAAATTATGCACCTTCTGGCCCCACAAAAAAGATGTCGACTCTGCCAATTCCTCATCAAACATGGTGAAAGCCAACCTTCTATCTTTGAGGGTCACAACACTGAGGAAATTCACAATTGCAAGCACCTGTTCTGACCTGGTTCAAAAGTTTCAAATGTACAATTTTAACCAGAAAACTTGAATCCTGGAATAAGTGAATAACTGCCAATTTACTGTCAGTAACAATTTCTTTTCCTTTTTAAATAAACATTACAAATAACAGTTTATAGGCACCGACATTATATCCCTAGCTGTTCCTAACCTCTATAATAGCAACCAGTGACAACACTATGATTAGACAATAACAGTGGGAGTGTATACATGCTTCTTCATTTATATAGAGTAATTCTTGAAAAGGAACAAGAAGCATGTATTATGCAAAAAATAATTACTTGGTTTTGTTGAACATAGTTCAGGAAAAACTGGTGTACGACAACTGATCATATTGACCAAAATAAACAAGCAAAAAGTAAATGACAAGCAAAAGAGGCAGCAACTGAAATAACCTCTTTAGGTGATTTAGACGACAGGATAGATCAATGGTTCTAACTGGTTGTTATTAAGTTCACTAATAAATATCCTCTATTCTTCCTGGTGTTTATGATTGCATAGATTCTTTAAAAGGTAGCAGGGGGACTAACAGGTTTCTCTCAGGAAGATGAAAAACGAAAAATATGAGATCCACAAACCTTTCGAAAAGTAAAAGACACCCTTCTTGAAGCCCTTCTGATAACTCTCTCATTCACCTTGTCAATCTGTGGGAGGAAAAACCATGATGGAATTGTTTATAGACAAAATTATATGATCAAGGCACACATACAAGTAAGTACATTAAGAAAGGAGGAGTGGGGTGTTTCTGATCAACTTTTAAAGTTTTATGCTAATAAAAGAATAAAGTTGTCATGATTAATCCAGAAATGGAATTAAACCTTGTGGTGAGGAATGTAATGGTGCCATGCATATCGTGCTTCGCCAGACATCAGCAGCATGGATCGTGGGGGAAGATAGATAGCCTTCCGAATAAAATTTGAATCATCCTCTGGACTTTCCACTTTAGTGACAGTGCCTGAAGCAACTCTAGGAAGCCAATCACTATTTGCATATCTCCTGAATTCCATTATACAAGGCCCAGCTAATGAAAGGCTGAAAATCAAATCTTCAAATGCAGAATGAGTGTCTATATGAGGGGACAGGCCAACACCAGAAGGGTACTCATTTACCTGTAACATAAAATCAATACTCAACATCAAACGTAAGTAAACAATATTTACATATAAAAAACCTAATAGTAATATTATACAACACCACCACCAAGCCTTATCCCACTAAACAGGGTTGGCTACATGAATTGCATGATGCCCAATTGATACCATTGTGCTCTATTAATGGCCAAGCCTTTGGGTATATTATTAACCCAATAGTAATACTATATTTTTAATAAATAATAAAATCTCATTAAGTACAGCAGTACTTAGCATACCGTAAGTTGGTCCAAAACTACATTTGCAGCATTCCTGAGAGTTGGGAATAATGAGATTCTTTCAAGTATTGGAAAAACAAATGATGGAAGTTCACCCAAGCGGTGCTTTGTATTAACATTCCTTGTCTGCACAACCAAATAAAAGTGGATAGTAAAGCCTACAGCAATAATCAATATCATTCTCACATTACACAACAATGTATTTGTCCTGATCCTGAGTAGCAGCACTTAAAACCTTTTAGGAAGGAAGCATATCACCCATTTTCCAAAAGAATCAGTTATTTGACTTGGAAAAAATCAGATTGTAATAATTTAGGGGCAATAACAATGACTTAATGAGAAGCATAAAGCCATAGAAAATCAGAAAAATAAATGCATAAAAAAACATGTTTAAATATTTAATATTTGTTGTAATGGTTTGTAATGGCTGAAATAGAGGCAAAGAATAGATGAGTAATGCAGGTAAAGAAGCATCTATAATCGTTGATGAAGAACTGCAAACCATATGTGAAAAATGTTCTCTTATTTCTATAAAATTGAATCTTATAGATTATAAGCGTGGACAAGCTAAACAAATGAATGATTTTAGCAGTAATGAGGCCAGAATGAGATTTCGGGCTTGTGAACGTGAGAATAATTGAAGTAAAATACACATAGATATACCCTACGCATAACAACCAACATAATGATGCACCAATTGTGGAGAAAAAGTGTAATGATGCATCATGATTACACACAATTTCTTATCAGGTTATAAACTTACATCATAACAAAACTCATAACCATAGTGTTGAACCCTTCTTTTCGAAAGATTATTCCAGGTCCTGCAGTCAACTTCTTGGAGCAATGCCTGGGAAGATGGAAAAGGTCCGTAGTCCATACTCATCATTCATCAAATAAGAATCAAATTAGAAATATAAATATAAGATTAAAAGAAAATTACAAAAATGCAAAGAATAACTATATTAAATCTATATGAGGCAAAAACTACTAACCTTCTCTTCTTTAGTGCTAATGAAGTCGTTCACAAGGTAAAGGCCTGGAATGCTAAGATCTGAGACTGTGATAGACACAGGAACCAAGTTACTTACCTGACTCTAAACAGACATGCAAACTAATCAACAAACATGGATAATGAAGAAATCCATTGCAATAATCAACATTAAAAGACAAATCATCTCCTCACACGAGTAATTAGCCGTTTACTCACAGCTTTTTCAATTTAAACATTCAACTCATGAATGGCTAAAATTTTTTCAAATAACAAAAAATGCTAATAGACAGAAGACAATTATAAATGATGTGATGTCTTTTCATATACAGCAAAATGCAGCTATGTAACTGAATATTATACAGTCTTTGGGCTTGGTTGTGAGATGGGAGAAGAAGGGTTTGAAAGGGAATGCAAGGAAAAGCTTGTCAAAGCCCTTCAGGACATCTAATTAAGACACATTAAAGTAAACCAGAAAAATATGGAATATAGGAAATCAGAGACATAAGAAAGGACACATTATTTTGATAGAATTACAAGTATATGAGTGTGGACATATCATGCAGAAACTATAAACATGATTACTCTAGCATAACATACTTTCCACCACACTCCCATGCTACTTGGATTATTTTGCTCATGAAAATAGGTGGTATTCAAGGGGATCATATAAATCAAATCAGAATGGAAGTTTGTGTTTCATATCTTTGCTACAGAGAAGCTGAAGAATGAAAAATTGACCTTCAATCACTTCATACTAACTAGGCAACAAAGTCATGGAATTAGAAAGTGACCACTATGCTACTTGAGGATAGCAGCAGCAACAGCAACAACATAAAATGTTTTGCTAATGCGCTTATAAGGATGACAAAATGCTCAAAGCCTTTTATGACCTAGTCATTATAGTTGATTCACATTTCTTAAGACCTTGAAGTTGTCCAACATAGCTGGAAGCCTAGAGAAACATCAACCAATATCCAAGTCAACGTGATTGGGAAAATAGACACTGCTCTAGTTTGGTTTAAAAATCCAAGAGCAACTGGTTCTGATAAGAACCAAAAACTGTAGTAGTTGAACCCAAATTGAGTTAGAAACAGTTTGGCTTTAAGAAACAGTTGTCACTAATATATGTAATTGGAAAAAGAGAAGTCAGATACAACTCTCTGATATATAATAAGAGCAAAGTCTTCTAAGCTGGAAGGATCTGATTATATAGAAATTTGAAAATCCAGCTTCTGAGTTTTATATAACTGATAATTATGCATAACAGAATTTCTTACACGTTTGGATAAAAGCCAAGTAATAATGACCTCAACATTTTATTCCTAGAAATAGAAGCAAGTGAATGAGCACATAGTTTTCCAAGGAACAACAACAAGCCTTTATCCCACTAGGTGAGGTCGGCTATATGGATTGCAAGGCGTCATTGTGCTCTATCATTTACCAAGCTTTAGAAATGTTATTAATTAAGAGATCGCATTCAAAAACTTCTAAGAGTGTTCTCTCCGGCCTTCCTCTACCCCTTTTAATAGGGCTCAAAGTTAGATGTTCCACTTTTCTCACCTGTGCCTCCCGCGGTCTTTTTTGTACATGCCAAAACCATCTCAAATGATTTTCTACCATTTTTTTCTTAATAGGTGCTACCCCCACTTTTTCACGTACGCGCTCATTTTGAATTTTACCTTTACGTGTATATCCGCACATCCATCGTAACATTTTTTCCAAGGAACAACATAAAATTTTTCCAAGGCCCCTTAAATCCTTAAAGTTTTTCAGGTCAAGAATTCACATGAAATATAGCAATATGATACCATCAATCTACTTAAATACAAAAGTAAAAAATGATTATTTACCAAATTACTTGAGAAGATCGAATACCTGTGAAATTGGCTGAAGCATTGAGTAACGAATATGCAAAGATCGGCCTCCAAGTTTGGAACATGGAACTCCATCTAATGCCTTCAGGGCAGCTTGGGCAGAACTCTCTTCAGAAAAAGATACAATTACACGGCTGCCACTCTCATCTGCTGCATAAACTCCCTTTATATCCCCAAATTCACAGAACACAGATGCAATAGCATCATGAGAAAGTCCCACAGCTGGGCCACAGTTTGCAACATAGAGGTTTGGACTCAATTCAACATCATTCTTAGGACGCACAAACCTTGCCATAGCCACTAGTGTTTTATTATTCTTCAACTACAAAAATGGATAATTGAAGCCTGAGTGGAGTCAAATGTATAATTAGGTTACAATGAATTGCTATGATCTAACAGCTATAAATTACTATACTCAAACCTCGATCAAATGTATTGCTTTCAGTAATCAGAAATGAATTGAGCAAAATACTGAACCACACCACATGTCTGCATATATGGCTTAAAATTCAAACATTTGAAGCCAAGAACCTTTCATTCAACTTAAAGATGTTTCTAAGGAAATTTCTCATCTTGGCTAAGGAACATGAAATCCAACCTGAATGCTTATTTGGTTTGAGTATTCAGTTGCAGTGTACAAAGAGGAGCCTTTTCCTTTGTCATAAGTACAATGAGGAACTCCATTGTCAGTTTACAATTCAGAATTACCAATCATGGGCAGATGCAGTGAACCCAGCTGACCATCAATTCCAACTTTCAAATGGAAAAACATGTAATGCATGCTTCGTATTAGAATTTAGAGCTATCAAAGCAGACTAGTCCGCACTGGCTTGTCACAGGCTGGTGGGCTTCATGGCTAAAATCCACATGTCAAGCCTTTCTTTCTTTTTTCCTTTTTTTGTTTTTTGGTCTTCAACTACGTAAGACTATGGGATTTAAAGGAAGGATAACTCATTTCAAACTCCTTGATTAAACTATGAAATGTTTATTTACTGCACTAAACCTTCGTACTATCAAAATGAATTCAACAAACTCAAAATTTTGGTTTTTCTGGACTTGATACAAATGGGAACTATTTTGCAAGTCACACACTTTGTGTCTTTCCTCTTACAAGATCTCAGGAAAAGAGGAGGAAAAGGGAAGGGGACCCCGTCCCACTATAACTGAAGTTTGATAGCTTCAAAATACGTATTTTCTTTTTAAGCTACAATCAGAATCGGTTCAAATGCCCATTTGTAGCGGTTCTACATATTGGCTTATCTTGTATAACATAATCTATACATTTTCCATCTAACTGCAACTCAGTTTTTTTTTTTTTTTTGGCCGAAGCAACTCAAAGTTGGTTAATAATTAAGTTTCACAGACCCATCTATCACATGTGCTTTGACTTAATATATCTAAATTTAGCTACTTGGAAAAGGTTGGCACATGCCATAAATACATCAAATGCGAATTAGCACGTCAAAATGAGGAATTCAGTCCTAGGACTTCGAGTTTCTGAAACCACGATAAACAAAGCTGGCAATTAAATAGTCAAAGGTTACATCCACGGCATTCACAAGTGTCCTTTATCGAGAAACAAACTCAGGACACTAAGCAGCAATTATGCAAATCTCATCCACCAGAACATCACTATCAACCAGTTCTAACTTCTTATTTAGTAAACCGAGACTCAACAAAGTGGGGAGAAGGCAGGAACTAACAGTTGTACTGAAGCGGCGAGAGACCAACGTCCAACTCGCCGATCAGCAAACACGGTGGCGCTGCCGATGCAGGGTGGCCAGTGTTCCGTTAGCGTGGTGTCGGTGATCGTGGCGTAGCCGTTGGCGCGGGGGCCAAGGAGGTTGAGGGCTTGAGGCGTTAGTAGGGTTTCCCGAAGCTTAACATTTATATTTTTTTGATAAAATCTGTAATTTTCATGAACATATGAGCAATTAATAATTATTAATATTTTTTTTTTGAAAAATATTCCAATGAGAACCTCTTAATCTAATTTAATTTCAATTAAATTTTTTAAATTTTTAAAATTTTAGTATATATGCAAAGGACTGAAATGAAATTAAGAGCTAACTATAATAATTTTATTCCTAATAAAGTTAAATAAATAAATAACTCATGTCGAAAAAATAAACAATTAATATATAAAAAATAAACAATTGATACAAGTAAAATTTACAAATCTCATTTACTGCATAACACATGTAACACTCTAAAAATTTAAAATAGGCTTGATTAAAATTAAGTAAGGGTTAAGTTAATTAATTGAGGTTTAAAATGAGATTGATTAGAATAATTTGATGATAATTGGGTCCAATAGATCCTACATGGAAATTAAAAGCATACCTTAAGTGGTATTGAGCCACTCTAGGTCTAATTTAATAGGCTTGAGTAAGGACTTTTGTTTTTTGTCATCCACTGTGGTGAATGTGATAAAATTTTAAATTTGCAAAAACACAAATTTCTATCAAAACATAAGAGAAATTTGAGAGAGTGAGGGAGAGAAAAAAGGGTTACCTATTAGGGTTTACTACATATGACATTTTGTAACATCCTAAAAATTTTAAAACTCAAATTTATTTTAAAAATAAAATAAAATATCTATAATTAAATTAAAATTTAGAATAATTTAATAGAGGCTCAGAGTTTGAATTTTACTAAGTAAAAGTTTGATTTTATTTGATTTTTAACTATGGGAAAAATTACCAAAGTTGACCCGAGCTTTTGTGCAATAAAAAAAATGTTGGGCCATTTTTTGTAATTTTCTTCAAACTTTTTGACCAGCAATTTAAAGACCAAAACTGACGCAGAAAATGCAGAAACTGAATTGGAAAGGAAAGGAAAGGAAACGCACGAGAGGGAGAGAGGAAGAAGAGAAGAGAAAGGGGGAAGTTAGGCTTGGATCTAGGAGTCTTTGCGATCGTTGCGAGCTCGGCTACACGATAGGTAAACTCCCTACTTCAATCCTCTTCTCTTTCTCTTGATTTTCTTCAACTTTTGGAAGAGGAGATTTTTAGATTTTGATCCTAAAGGCTTTATTCTTGTAAGCTTTTGTTTCTTTGGATCCTAGGGAGCATGTTTTGAGTTTTTATATAGTGATCTAATGTTTTGAGTGAATAATTGGATGAAAAGAGGTGTTTTGGGCACAAAATAAACCCTGAGAAATTGAGTTTTTGCTTCTCAATGGTTTAAGCCCATTGATTTAGTTATAATTTTGCTATTTGAGCCCAATAAGATTTAAATTAAGGTTTGGTTTTCATTATAAGGGCTAATGGTGAAAGTTGGTGGCACTAAGTAAAGGTTTTTAATTGATTAAAAAATTATATAAATTGGAAATTAGCCTAGTGATGGCTAATAAATGGTTTTGATGGTTAAGTGATACTATGTGAATGGTTGGTTTAATATATGAACCATTGGGATGGATTATAGCTCATAGACCCAAGTTGTGTGGTATGAGTTATAGTCTTCATTAATGCTATTTGACATGATAAGTGATGTGGATCACTTATATGTTGTAGGAATTGCTGGTGGAATTTGTTCAGAAGTTAAGGAACAAGCTGAGCCCTATTTTGTACAAGGGGAACCCTTTTGATACCAAATGGTTGAGGTAACAGGGAAATTTATATTTATTATTACTTTGTTTTAGCTATTTTTGAATAAATATTTCTAGTTATTATGCATTACATGTTTTAAAAGATTAAATGTGCTTTATAAGGGGTTACGGTGTACTATTTTAATTATAGTGCAAATATGTTTTCTAATTGTTTTAATAACAATGTTTTTATGAAAATGAGATTTATAAATATTATACGACTTTAGAATGTTGAATGGTCAATACTCAGGAAAGGTAGACAAGAGTAAAAGGCATGATCTCGGTGGGAGTTCACCAATGAGAAGATGTGGATTTTTGATATTCTATGGCACACTGTCAGTACTCAGTGTTGTCTTACGTATTGTGGGCTCAGTGCACTAAAGTGGTCAATGTATTGAGTGTTCGACACCTCTCAGTGGGGGAGGGAATCCAACATATGAAGTGTGAGGTTGAGTGCCTAGGCCAAGGTAGTCCTCACATGAAAAGTAAGTTGGGCTGGCTCTGGGAGGGAGTTAGCTTCAATTGCTTAGGATTCACGTCGAAGGGGCATAGGAGGTTCGATGGATTAGATCATGCCTTAGATTATGTTTTGTGCTTGTGGAGGTACAAATAAGTATAAGGTTTACCTGCGAGTCAAAGAGTGCCAGGGGGCATTCTGTTGGTCATGAAAGGTCATACTGGCCTAGGTCATGCATTCATGCATTTTAAATGGCTAAATTATATACTATGTTGAATTTATTATTCATTTATTTGATTATGGCTTACTTTGTAATAATCAATGTAAATTTCGCTGTTACTGAGACTGTGGTTGTCTCACCCCTTTCTTTTCAATATTCTAGGTCCAGGCGAAGGATCCAGTGGTGGACGGGGAAAGGAGCAAAGCTAGGGGTTTGCTTGTGATTTGTAAAGAACTGCAACCTCTTTCTTTTGAACAAATATATTGTAATATATTTAGGATTAGGGTGCCAGTATGATATGATTATGTATGTGTGTGTGAATATGTGTGGATTGTGTGCTTGTGTATGAATTTTTGTCTGTTTACAGACTTGTGGCTAGGAAACTTGGTTATGGTGTGTGGTTTTGATGGATTTACTTAGTAGACTAAGTTTCTATTACAAGCAGATATTTATTTTGATATATATATGTGATTTTATAAGCAAATGCAAAGTGGTTGCATTGCAAATGATGTGCTATAGGCAAACATACACCTTGGATAAAGAGAGTGGGTGCGTAGGCCCCACAAGGAGCTCTGAGCCAAGTGAAAATGTTTAGCATATGTATTTATATAAATACATGGTATTTAGATTGATTTGTGACCACTCTTGTATGATTTGTGCATTTTGGGGGTTTAGGGTCCATTTTGGGAAATGGCACCCGGGTGGTCAAATTTTGATGTATAGGGGTTTTTCATCATTTGAATGTTCTATCAGGTGTTTTTAGTCTTATTTGACGTGTCCAAAGTGTTCCCACAGGTTTGTGACCATTAGGATGAGATTTGGACAATTTTGAAAATGGGTTTTACCAAAAAGCTGCACTTTTGCATCCGGGTGTTCAAATCTTAATCCGACCGTTGGATTTCTCTAAAATTTGGGTCACAAGTAAAACCTTTTATAAGCTTTGTGTGGGATTTGGAATCACATCGATCGAATATCGAACGGAGAAACGATGCACTCCGGAATTTGGTCTGGAGGTGCTGTCATGACAGCATTAACAGCTACAGTGTTGATATTGTAACCTGCATAAAATTCAATCTGTCCGTTGGATCTTTTCAAAATTTAGTATGCTAATATTATTCTTTAAAAGTGACATGTGGGCTTTGGAATCACTCCGATTGGAGGTCAGATGATAAAATGGTGCACTTCAAAAGTTGGCCCGGAAATGCTATCATGACAGCTTTTTAGCTGTCATGACAGCAAAAATAATCAATTTTTTTAACATGTCTAATTTTAAATTCGACCGTTGGATCTTTTTGAAATTTAGTATACTTATAGTACCCTTTAAATGTGACGTATGAGCTTTAAAATTACTTCAATCGGAGGTCGAATGACGAAACAGTGCCTTCTAGAAGTTGGCCCAGGAGGGCTGTCATGACAGCAATTTAATGCTGTTATGACGGCATTTTTTTATTTCACTTTCGTCTAGCTTGCTTCCGCGTGCTATAGGTAGAACCTATAATTTTTTTTTAAAAGGCTTTAAATGTTTACTTTGCAATTGTGTATTTGCTTAGTGATTTAAATGGTTTGTTTCCTAAGTTGGTTTTAGGATTAATTGTAACACCCTCAAATTTACAAACTGATTTTTCGCAAATCATTAATTCAATAAATCATTTTTTTTATTTGAACCCTCATCATACCCTTATCATGGTAGAAAAATTTCTACCATAGTACATCCAAGACAATATACCACAGGTCTTAAAATATCTCAAAAAAAAACAATTAGAACCATGAGGGACAGACAGGATCCTCATGGCATGATATTTAAATCAGGTCATGAATCAAGAGGGACAGATATAATCCTCTTGGTCATATAAATACTTTTAATAAAAAGGATTAGAGTTTACATGCTTCACAAAGAAGATATGTCCTAAATTGGCACAAGATATATTGTATAATCCAAAATAAGAGGCAACGTAAAAGATGGTGTCTCATACACCATAGTTACACCTCTGGTGCTTTCTCGGCCGGACTCGCTCCTGTAAAAATGTCAACCACGGGGAATGAGACTTAAAAGTCCCAGTAACCAAAAATTAATATGTAATGATGCATGCGGATGTAACTAATCATGCGATTGCTAAGTGGGCACACAAAACATTTAACCGAACAATACTTTCAAACAAACCGAATAAGTATTTAATTTGCATGACTGCACCTTATATCCTCCTTTCGCCATGCTCGGACGCCAAATCACCCGGCCAAAGGTGAGTTGGACCAAGCGACACGCCACTCATTGGGTCCAATGAGGGCTTACCACGTGGTAATAATTAACCGAACAGAAATTCCCATTAACACCATACATTAAAATACCCTGATAAGTCATGCATCATTCAAATATCCAAACAGAAATATATCCGAACAATAATATCTCATCATGATAAACAAAAATAAATTTTTAACCCACTTGGCAATGATTTCACGGAAGTATATAACAGTATTTATTTTCAATAATTCATAATTTTTCCAAACAACAAAACAACACATAACCATTCACAAACACACCCATCACAACACATTAATAATGGTTACCTTGTGTCTTGAATAACAAGTTCCCCTTCACAACTCC